TGTCTTCTTTGAGCTCTCCCTTGGACTCACTGTTCCTCGATTTTGGCATTTCTTATATACTGCCTGTTATTTCTACTTAACTCTTTCAATTCTTTGCCTCTTGTGTCCTTAGCTAGCTACTGGAGGATAATAACTATGCCACACCTATTGCCCCCACAAATGCCAACTCCATTCGCATATAATATGCAGTATGTTTAATGAATATTTGTTGACTTGCAAATCTTGTGATTAGGAAATCTGGCATAATTTCTTGCTCATTAGGGGAGGTGTTCTGTGTCCTTTGGAAACTTTCTAATCACATGGAAAGAGCTTTAAATAAGGAGGCAGGAGCCTCAGCTTCCAATCCTGGCTGTGTCACCAACTCCCATTTTGACCAGCAGCAAATCACTTGCCTTCTCTTGCTGTCAATTTCCTCATTTGTGAAACCAGAATTGATTTGTAAAGCTTCTTTAGCTCTGTGTTTGGGCTACTCTAGATAGCAAGAGGCAGCCTTTTTCATGTCAGTGCTATTAATGGCTACAATGACTTTTTTCCCCTGTAAGGAATGCCTAATTGATGGGTCACCCTCAGTGTATAAAATTAAAAACTCAAGAGAAAGTAAGAGCTTTGGCCAAGTTTCCATGCCTAGAATTTGCGCATGTGTTTTTGGGGGAGGTGCTCACTCCTCACTCTAGACCCCTGGCTTTGACTGGATTTTTCCATCCCAGAGCTGTTTAGCAGCCCTTATCAAACACAGGATTGTCAACCCTTAATGATATGCATGTCCACTCTCTCCTCTGTGAATGACATAGGGCAAAGGTATGACATTCCAGCTGAGTTTCCTCTTGTCCCTCTGCACACTCCCATCCAGGGCCATAATGTTCACTGCCATGTTCAGTCAATCTGTTCAAATACTATCCTCTGAGAAGGAGAAGAAAGGCACAAGACATGAATCCTTGCCCTCATGGAATTTCTAATCTGCCTGGGAAGTGGAGATAAGAATATGTGGGAAAAAAATGTGCTATCATATGTAAGGAAGGATCTGGGAGTCGAGTGATGTTTTGATACATCTCCAATACCTAGAACAGTGCCTGATACATAGAAGATGCTCAAGAAATACATAAAATATAGGTGAAAATTGCCATGGTTTTCAAACTTTTTAGTTTAAAGAAGGGAAAGCCTTACTTCAATGAGACAGGTGCATGTAAGGTTGTCCTGGTAAGAGGAGCTAGGGTTGAGCCCTGCCTGCTCAGGTCTCCTCTGGGCACCAGAGAGGTTCCTCAGAGCCCCAGTCACTTACTGTAGTCAGTTGGAAAGTAGTCAAAGATCAACTTGCTGTTTTTCCTGGTTAACCTTAGCAAAAAAATGGAGGTTTGAAGAACCTAGCCATCCAAAGGGAATATTTGCCATCTGAAAAAGTGTTGTCAATCTTTCCTCTCCCCTCCTTTTAGGGAGCTCCAATTAGTAATGACAGAGGGGAGGAATTTTTGAGTGGGAGACTTCTAAGTTGGTCTACAACTATATATCAATGTAATGTTTGTTTACTTTAAATAAATAAAGAAAGAAAACCACTGTGGAAATGTTTTCCAGTATTCAATAGAAAGCCATTTGGTTTGTCTTCTAAGCAGTTCTGATTTGAAAATACAATGTAAAACTCTCATGAAGTCTCTTCAGTGAATAGATGGTGCTGCCTTTTGCCCAGTGTACCCTGCACCACCCTGGCAGCTACTAACATTCCTGACCAAGTTCATAGTCAGTCTTGGGCACATGCAGCTGCTAGAGATGAGAGAATCTCTACCCCATGCCTGCAGGATTGAGACCCACTACCCAGCTTGGCCTTCTCCTTGCCTATCCACCCCTGACCAGCAAGGGAGGAAAACCAACCCAGGGAAAGCATACTTGTTCAGATTATCCAGGGAGGAAGGAACATCCCAGACCTGCATCTGGAAAATAATTTTGGATAATGGATATCTATTTCTTTAAACTTATCAAATGGATAAAGCTCTTGAATTAAGAGGTTTTCATCATTATCCATCTCATGGCCCTTTCATATAAATTTCTTTACCTACACCACAGATTGTCCCTCTATACAGGTGCCAGAAAGGGCAGGCAGATAATGCTGGGGGTCTTGCTATAGACTGAATGTGTTCCCCCAAAATTCATAAATTGAAAGCTAATCCTCAATCTAATGGTATTTGGAGTTGGGACTTTTGGGAGGTGATTAGGTTATGAGGGCTACCTCACAGATGATTTTTGTGTCCTTATAAAATAGACCCCAGCAAGATTCCCTTGCCCCTTTCTGCCATGTGAGGTTATATATTTAAAAAAAGACAGCCATCTAGCCTGGCTGGTGTGGCTCAGTGGTTGGACGTAAACCCATGCACCAAGAGGTCGCTGGTTCAATTCCTAGTTCAATTCTCAGTCAGGGCACATGCCCAATCGATGTTCTCTCTCATAATACTTCTAGCTCTCTCTCCCTCTCCCTTCCTCTCTCTAAAATCAATAAAGAAAAAAAAAACTAAAAAAAAGACAGTCATCTATGAACCAGGAAGCAGATTCAGACCAGACACTGAATCGGCCAGAGCCATGATCTTGAACTTCCCAGCCTCCAGAAATAAATTTAACTGAGAAATAAATTTCTGTTTTGTTTTTTTATCCTCACCGGAGGACTTTTCTTAAAATTTTCATTTATCTTCAGATAGAGCGGGAGGGAGATAGGGAGGGAGAAAGAGAGAGAAACATTGATGCGAGAGAGACACATCCACTGGTTGCCACCCACACAACCCCAACTGGGTGGGGACAAACTGCAACCGAGGTATGTGACCTTAGCAAACCAAACCCGGGTGTCTCTGGTCCGCTGGCCGATGCTTTAATAGCTGAGCCAAACTGGCCAGGACTACATTTCTGTTTCTTACAATCATCCACTCTGTGGTATTTTGTTATAGCAGCCTGAATGGACCAAGACACCTCAGTCAACTGCAGGGGAAACTGCAGGGTGAATGGATCTCACTTTAGACAGCAAGTCACCAGGAGCCCCAGCTTCTCCCCTACTGCCCAGTTTAGCCATCTCTTGCACGTCTTGGCCAGTCCCATGACTTCCTTATTTTCAAAATCTAGCTCATGCCTGACAACAGTCTATCCACCCCTGCCCTTCCAATACTGCTGCAGACTTCACCACCTGTCCAAGCCCCCACCCACAACATCTAGCCTAGTCTTTTGTACTTAAGTAGCTGAGTTCCAATCATTAAATCTTGTCTTAGAATAGAAGCCCCCCAAGGTTAGGGCTGGAGGGAACCTTGGAGATTAGGAGAAACTAAGACTTCGCAGGGGTCTTGTCCAAGGTTACAAAAAAAAAAAAAATAGGGCTGCGAGCCAAATTTTCCTATGTGTGCCTTATGCCTTCCTGGCTACATCCTGAGATTCTCTATTTCTTTTCTTGTTCTCTTTCCCCTTTGCTGCACAGTACCTGTTCTCTGTATGACCTTGGTGTTGACTCCAGGAGGGATCAAAGGCCTAAACAACAAAGAGCCCAGACAGAGGCTGTGGTCCACATCTCTGAAACAAGACTTGATTCCAACTAAGACCATACCTGACATTGGTTCTGAAGCCCAAATGATGGCTCCCAGAATTCAGGTTACTTACCCAAGGTCACTCGGCTAAGAAGTGGCCACAGCAGGAGCCAACTCTAGGTCATCAAGCCCCAGGGGCAGCGCTCTGCCCGGAGCACTGCTCCAGGCACTGCCCAGAGCCCACAGATCCGGAGGCCAACGGAGCCAGAGGCAAGCCCAGACCCCGCCTCTCTGCCCTGCTCAGCATGACGTTGGGGGAAGTACGTTATTCCTTTAGGTCGCTAAGCATTGCCTGCTTATCTGTGCGTGTGGCTCCCATCTAAAGTGTGGACATTGGTAGGAGACAGTGTAGGCGGGTCACACTGGCCTTCTGTAAGTAATCGGGGCACCCTCGACGGCCCCTAGCCATCGTGAGCCAAGTCCCTGCAGCTTGTGCACAATCCTAACTCCCGCACACAATCCCCAACTGTGATGCGAAGATGTCTGAACTCAGGGATCTGGCGGAGGGAACCTGGAGGCAGTTTGGCCGCCGCTGGAGTGCGCCAGGATTTGCAGACTTTCTCGGAAGTAGCTCTCTCAGGTCCTTCTCCGCCTGCGGTTCTCCTTTGCCCCCGAGAGTACCCACTGACCCCAGCAGGCCAAATTCTCGTGGCCGCGCCCATCCGGCAGGCGTCCCCAGTGCGGCGCCCGCCCCAGCGCAGGTTCTGGAGTTGGGATGAGGGAGAGGTGAAGCCCCAGGCAAGCGGGTTGCCTCTCCTGGCCTGAGCTGGTGAGCGCATCTTCTTGGCGTCCCCCACCGCTCAGCTCGCGCCACTGAACTTCTACACCTACGTTCCCTGTAGCTTCCAGAATTGGAGATCAATCAAATGCCTTCGGAAAACTGTATTCACTACTTTTGGAGGACTCTCTGGGGAAGGCGGGCAGGGGCCAGGACCCGGGTGGGGGGGTCTTCCTCGGGACCCTCCCAACCCGCTTCCCTTCGCAGACAGCAGTGGTCACCCCTACAAGGACATGACTTGGGCTTCCCGAAAGACTGAAGGACTGTGCTCCTCGAGGTACCGGCCTCTCCATGGGGTGGGGTGTAGGTGTGGGGAGCGGGCCACTCGAGAACGGACCTGTTTGCTGACGGGTTTGGAGGTGGGATGGGGTAGGTTTTGGAGACAGAAGAGGCTGAGAGCAAAGACTGTTTTTTTTTTTTTTTTTCCTCTCCCCCTCGTCTGAAAAGGAACCACATTGTCAGGGGGAAATAAGACGGAGTGTAAACACAAACAACGTCAAAAAGAAGCCAAGAAAGGCGAAGCCAAAAGAAGCAAGCGCAACACTGTTACAAAACTGTCTGGTTTTGTAACAATTTCCCTGCCGCCGGCCAATGAGCTGCGTGGCGGCGCGTCACGTGGTGCCGTTTTATATAACGCTTTGCTGAGACAAGACAGTTATTAGGCGGCGCGGGGCGGCCGGTATGGAGCTTGCAGAGGCGCGGCTAGGACTAGTGTGTGGCCGCGCGGCCCCGGTGGCAGCCCCAATTCCCTCCAGCCGCTGCTCCCTGCTCCGGGTCCCCGACCCCTAGACGCCTCTTCCCGCGCTTATTCCTCCCTTTATGGATTCACTGCGGACCAGACAGATGCTGAGCTTGTCCGCCGAGCTCGCCAGCAACAACTTAGAGCTGGCTGAGTCGGCGGCATCAGTGACCCGTGTAGACACGGGCCACCTGGAGGCTGTTACAGAAGGTCCCGCACCTCTATCGACGCGGGAGACGGAGCGAGAGCAGCCTACAACGGCCTCGACGCCGGAGTGCAAAGTCCTGCTCTCACAGGCCGATGCCCTGGCGTCCCGGGGGCGCCTCGGGGAAGCCCTTGAGGTGTACAGACAGCTGTCGGAGCGGCAGCAGCTGGTGGCCGAGCAACTGGAGCAGCTGGTGCGCTGCCTGGCCGAGAACGTCCCGCGAGTAGAGGTGCTGTCTCCAGTGCCCGCGGACCGGAGCAGCGCGGCGAGCTTCGTGGTGGTGGCGGAAGAAGCAGGGATGGCAAGGGCTGCCGAGGCCACCGAGGTGTGGGATGGCTTCAAGTGCCGGAAGTGCCATGGATTTCTGTCGGACCCCGTGTCCTTGTCATGCGGCCACACCTTTTGTAAACTGTGCCTGGAACGCGGGCGGGCAGCCGACCGGCGCTGTGCGTTGTGCGGAGTCAAGCTCTCCGCGTTGATGGTGGCCACCGGGTGGGCGCGCGGAACCCGGAGGGCTGGGCAACAGGCGCCACCGCCGCCGCTGCGGGTCAATGTGGTGCTCAGCTGTCTCCTTGGCAAGTTGTTCCCTGGTCCCGCACGGGCGTCGCAACTCCGGCACGAGGGCAATCGGCTGTACCGCGAGCGCCAGGTGGAGGCGGCACTACTCAAGTACAACGAGGCAGTCAGACTAGGTGAGCCCACCTTGCCTCTCAGCAATTAACCCCGCAGGAATGTGGGGCATCGACGGGGGGGGGGGGCCGGAGGAGTGCGCTGGGTACCGTGGGACCGACCCGGACTGGAGTTGGGGAGGGGTTTCTGGAGTTCAGTTTTTTACTTTTTCTCTGCCCCTACCAATTTATTTTTCTTTCTCTGTCTCTGCCTAGCTCTGTTGCTTTGTCTTTTCCTGTCTCCTGTTAGATTCTGTGTTTCTGCATCTCTGTTTCTGTTTGTGACACTTTGTTTCTGCCTCTCCTTTCCTTTGTCTTTCGTGTCTCTATCACTCCGTTTGTTGCTCGGTGTCACCGACTGTGTTTCCCTCTGTCTCCTTCCTCTGCCTCTGCACGCCTGGGATCCTTCTTACACCTGCCTGCACCTTCCTTGCCAGAAGAGGAACTTCGCACCCTTCCCACCCTCACGCCGGCTCTGGCTTTGGCTCCGGCTCTGGTGGATTCCCGCCAGCCCTAAGTGTTTGCTAGGTGCCTGTGTCTGCCGTCCCACCTGGCCTGGGCCTCTGTTGCTGCCGGGAGGTGCCCATTCCGGGGCCGTGGCTCCGGGTGGGGTGGGGTGGGTCCGGTGTGGAATTAGGTCAGGAGAGCACTGGTTGCATAAGGGCCGCGAGCGGCCAGGGCCAGGCGGCCCCTCCTTCGCGCGGGCGCGCTGGCAGGCGGGCAAGATTGTGTAACGGCTGAGGTAACCGAAGTGGGCCACGCTCGTCTCGGAAACCATCCCGCGAGCGGGGGAGGGGGGTGGAAGCGCTCTCGCCCCGCTGCCCTGTGACTCATTGTCACCGTTTCCTATCACAGGATCCGAGGCTTAAATAGATGCTCCCCCCCCCCCAAGCATGCTGCCTGCGCCTTGGTCTGGAGATTGCTCAGGGATCCTGGGGGCTGGGGGCTAGCTGCGAAGGGGACACGCCTCTGTCCCGCTTTCTCATGCTGCCTGAAGACGGATGGATGGGCTTTGTGGGTTCAAGGACAACATGGGCAGTCTCATGCTGTGGTCTTACTAGGGCATCAGAGTTACCGCAGGGAGAGGCTCTCCCAATCCCTCCTCCCCATATCTGGACCTAGGAAGTGGCCGCTGAACCGCTGGCCCATATTGCCCAGTTCAGAGCCATTGCCAGGAGCTCGGCTGGTGGGGCAGAGTGTCTGGTGAAGTGTGCCAGGGGAGGAAGGAGGCAGCAAGGCTGGGAAGACAGGACTCTGAGCCCAACTCTGATGGGTGGAGAAAGGGGTGAGCTGGAGTCTCCAGGTGTTGAACCTCCACCAGAACAGGCAACAGGTATTGGGGGAAGGGGAGGAACTAGGGCTGACTGGGCAAGAGTGACACCTGAGGGAGATGAGGACTCCCTCTTCACATGCACACACTGTGCTCACACAAACACACTGTGAGCTGCCACTGTGATGGCATGTGTTGCCAAAAAGAAGAAATAGAGAAGGCTGTAAACTCTTTGCTAATGTCTTAAGAGCAAGTAATGGGCACCCAAGTAAACCTTCAGCATACCCCTGGGAAAAACAGCAACACTAAATCCTGTTCCCTCAACAGAAGTTTGTGAGCTGGATCCCTGGGGACAAGTGGAGGCCACTTAAGTCCAGATCTCCATAGGAGATTCCATTCCTTTCAGCCATCCTGGGAGGGGCAGTTTTCCCTGGTTTTTTTCTTGCATGGTCCGAGCAGTCAGGGTGAAAATGTCAAGACCTTCTAAATGGAAAGGGGCCTCCCCAGTAAAGTGTATCTTTGTGCTGGAAGACAGCCAGGCTCTCTTCCTCATTAGTCTAATGTTGTGCCCCCCTTCAGAAAAAAAGAAACCTGTCCCTCACCCCAGATTCAAAATCTGGCCAGTTAATGAGTCTGACCACCTAGCTGTGTGACTTTCAGCAGATGTCTTCCCCTTTCTGGGCTTGATTTTATTCATCTGAAGAATGGGTTGGTTGAGTCAGATGACTTCTAAAGGTCTGTCCAGCCCTGGCATCTAGTGATTCAGAGTGTTGATGAGAGCCAACCTCATTTTATTCTCAGAACCCTTGTCCAGGTTCATTCACATTTTGCTATCTGTAATGAGAGGATGGAGCTTTGCAAATAAATGCATTTCCATTTTCTTAGAGAAACTTTATATATGCTGGGTTTCTACATAGAAATGTTGCTGTTGCCACCAGAAAACTTGTCTTCCTGGTGGCCAGGATGGGGGTTACATCTGGCCAGCTCCCCTCTCCCCAATTCCTGGCCTGTTTCTTTGTAGGTGATACCTCACTCAGAAGCCAGGCTTTCAGTTGCTAGCCCCACATAGCTACAAAGCAGGGTACCAGGGTTTTTTCCATGCCAAAGTCTCTGATGCACCACTGACACCACAGACTCTCTAAGGAATTGCTCAAGAGAGGGGCAAATATTAATTGTTTACAGCTGGGGCATCTCAGATCCAGAGTGGCTGGGATAGGGGTGGGTTGTGCATGTGGTCGGCCAGGCAATATTAGGGCTAGAAATTGAGCTTGACCCTTTGGGTCCCCAGGAGAAAAGTCCTAGAAAACTTGGCATCTGCTCAAGACCCATCTTTATACAGGACTTATCATGTTTCTGCTGGAGGCCATTAATGAGGGCTTTTTTTTCCCCTCATTTTGGCAGCTCCGAATGACCACTTGCTTTATAGCAACCGGTCTCAAATTTATTTCACCTTGGAGTCTCATGAGGACGCACTGCAAGATGCAGAAATAGCATGTAAGCTCCGCCCAATGGGTTTTAAGGTGAGTGTGGGATGGGAGGTATGGGAAGGGGTTATGCTGTAGAAGGAATTGGTAGGAAGGGTTGCTGTCCTTGGAGGTATGGGCACTAGAGCTCAAGCAGAACTAGGAGAAGGCTTTGCAAAGGAGTTGGGGGGTCCCTTGACAAAGGGTGACTTAGAGGTCTTCAAGGGAACTGGATTCTTCCCCAATTTGATCTTCCATTGATGCAGCCCTGGCTCTGTGACTCCAGAACATGGACTTGGGAGCCTGACTGCCTGAGTTTATGTCCCAGCTCTTCTGTTTTTATAATCTGTCTGACCTTGGGAAAATTACTTAACCTCCCTGAGTACTCTCATCTATAAAATGGGGATATTCAAAGCACCTACTTAACAGGGTTTGTTGTGGGGATTACATCAGCTAAAACATGTAAGATGCTTAGAACAGTGTCTGGCACATAGCACTGTACAAGTGTTTGCTGTCATCATCATCATCACTTTCAATGGACAGTAGAAGGAGGAAGGTAAGAGAAGTATTGCGGGCTAGTTGTGCCATTTTGAATCTTTAATATAGTCAGTTAGCCTGCCAGTATTCACAAACATCTAGGTCACGTGGAGGGGTGGGGAGAAAGACAGGCTAGGCATCTCTTAGGATGCCAGGATGCAAAGTGTCACTTCTTGCATCTCTAGCATCAGGACTAGCCCTCAGCCACATGTCAATATTTGGTTTAGAAGATTAGATTTGAGCCTGGGCTCTACTACTTACCAGCTAAGTGACCATAGGGATGTCACTTCACTCTCTGGACTCCAAGTATCCATGTTTGCAAAATGAAGCTCTTTCTATCTGTCCTGATCACCTCGCGGGGGTGCAGTGAGGGTCATAGGTAAGGATGACCTAAGGGCCATTCTGTGAGATATAACACTTGCTGGGTCTTGGTGTAGTGCTCTCTTGGTGTAGTGCCCCAGGAAGCCCTTCTTGGACACCCAACTTATCCAAGTCCAGGTCCATGATCCCTTTATAAATTTCATGGGGCCAGATGTGTTCGGAATCCAGAATGTTTCCAATTTCAGAAGGACCTTATAAGAAGTAACACCCGCAGTCAATTTTGGACAGTGTCCCATAATCAAACGCTAATATTTCTGCAGTGTATTATGTACATGAAAATTCACATTAAATGGGATAAAGAATATAATAAATATACTTTATATCATTTTAGGTCAGGTTTTTCTACCTCATGACTTTTGATGTCAGGCTTATGAAAATATTGGATTATCAGACTTTTTTTTTTTTTTTTTTTTTAAATCTGGGAACTTCAGATAAAGCCTCGTGGACCTGCATAATGGGCCATTGATGTCAAAGTGAATCTTATGTTATTTAATGAGAAGATTTTTATGAGTGATGATGGATTAGTATGTTCTCTTTCCCAAGGAAAACATTTACAGTTTACTAAAAGTCACCAGCATCTTAAACCAAAGGAGTTCCAGCAGGAGCATTTTGGGCCTTATAGTAGTGCAGGTCCTGGAGCTACCCCAGCTGTAGGAGGACTTCTCTTGTAACTTTTTCTGCTCCCATCCTTAACTGTAAGTCTAAGAGTAGGGGCCTTGATAGTGCCCCTACTGAGTGAGCAGTGGACCTTTGTGGATGAAATGGGAAAAGTGACTTCCCTGGTGAAGGGAGAGTTGATGAAAGTATTAAATAGGAGTTTCAGTTCCCCTTAAGTAAGTGGGGAGGCTTATCTCTCTGCCCCTGGTTAGCCCTCTGAAGGGCAGTCTGCTTTGTGGTGAAGAACTTTCTGGGGGTTCTAGACCACAGTTCTAGTTCCAGCTTTGCTGCTGACGTCTTGGAGAGGTCACATCTCTTCTCTTGGGCTTCTGAAAAATGATCAGTAAGTGTAGGTGGTCACTCAAGCCAGTAATGTGGAATAGGCCTCTGCTTGACAAACTAGTTAGTAGGATGGCATATCTGGGCAGGTCCTAAAAGCTGGTTAGAATGTGTTCAAATGGGCTTCCTTGCTACTTTGTGATCCCTCCAATAAAATGGTAGGGTAGTAGGGAGGGGGAGGTAGTACAGCTCAGTGGTTAAGAATTTGGACTTTGGTATCATTCAGTCCCAGACTCAAACTCTGATTCCAGAATTTATCAGTGGTGTTACTTTGGGCAAGTCACTTTTCTGGGTCTTAGTTTTGTTTTCTTTAAAATGGGCTTCAGAACATTTGCCTACATTATAGATCTGTATATAAGATAATCCTTTGAAATGCTTCAGGAAATAGTGAATACTCATAAAGTCTTTAGCTAATGTTAAGAAGAGCAGTGTCAGAAAGGTGAATAAGAGTGGAATTGAATGCTAACATTTTCTTTCAGGCACACTTCAGAAAAGCACAAGCCTTAGCCACCCTAGGCAAAGTGGAGGAAGCACTAAGGGAGTTTCTATACTGTGTGTCCCTGGATGGAAAGAACAAAAGAGCAAAATCTGAAGCCCAAAGGGTGAGTTAAGATGATATCAGGTCCAACTACCCAATGGGCTCCCAATTTACTGTCTTCTCCAGGGAGGGGAGTGAGGGAACTGCCTTCTAGAGCATTTGGGGTCTTGAGTGGGTGGCTTCCTGGGTTAAGGGAACAGGAGGGAGACACAGGTTCCAATTGATTGCCCCCAAATCACCGTCCTCTTGCTGTGTACAATCATCAGATTGAGCAGTTGCTGCATTTCTGTAGGAGTCTGTGAGGAATGTTCTGGCTTCTTTAACTTAGGGTCTGGGCTGTCAATGGGACAAAAAACAAGAGAATATAAATGTAAACAAGTTAACATGGGGACGGAGGCTCATTGAGGAGATTCTGGCTGCTGACAAGAGGTTAGGGGTGTGGGGCTTCCTGCAGTTGTAGAACTTTACTTTGACTGACTCACAGCTTCACCAGCTACACCGGGAAGCCAGCTCCTCATAAAGGATGCTGGTCCCCATCTCACTTGGCATATGCACAACTCCAACCTTCAGGTCCTTTTCTAGAAATAAAACACATATACTGTCTCACAAATATAAGTCAGAGACCATTCCAATATAATCCAAACAGTCATTTCAACTCTTGAGTCCCAAGAGAATGTGGTTATTTTTAAAAGCTGCATGAAGTACTGAGAGTATTAGCGAAGGCTCAAGCATCCTCACTTTCTGGACTTTGTTGCTTACTCTTCTGCAGTGTGCTCTCAGCGTGTCTGGCTAATTGGCCTGAAGTTGGATGGTGACAATGGTGTCCTCGGCTTGCTTTGTGCCCTGCGCCCAATTCACCACCACAGCCCAAGTGCTTCTGTTCCAGTGTGGTTTGGTAGAGCAGTAGATGAAGAAAGGGAGGAAAAGACAGGATTGGTTTCTTAAGGCTACAGAAATGCATGTTTAGCAAAATCAATGAACTAGGGAAAGCAGAACTCTGGAGGTTCTGCCTCTGACAGATTTATTTTCTGGGGAGTTGCTTTGACCTGGTTTGGGAATGTAGACAAGTTGTTCTTGAGAGAAGCACTGGTAGATTCTCCAAGCTGTGGACCCTTCCCCAAATCTCAAGTGTAGATAATGATAATAATAATAATAATAATGATAATAGCAGCTAAAATTTATTGAGTACTTTCTATGCATGCTAGGCACTATGCTAGGGCTCTCTGTGGAAGATGTAGTTTAATTCCCCCCATATCTCTATAAGGGTAGGTACTGCTATTTATCTCCATGTTACAGATGACATGGATGAGGATGCTGAGGCTTGGTAACTTTCTGAGATCATGCAGCTAGTGATTGGTAGAAGAGCAATCAAACCCAACTCTACCTGCTTTCAGAGTCTGCCTACCGGCCTCTTCACCATCCTGCTGTCCTGGAAGGATGTGTCAGGAGTCTCAGCACTCACTGCTGGGGCTGGATGGAGAGCAGCAGTGTTCTGTGGTGGATGGACAAAAGCTGTTAGAAGAACCTTGACTTTGGGGACAGAATGTGCAAAGGCCAATAAAGGCAGGTGTCAGGTCCAAGGATGAGTAGTTTCTTAAAGAGTTATTATTATTATTGATTGATTGATTTGAGAGAGAGAGAGAGAGAGAGAGAGAGAGAGAGAGAGACGTCAATTTGATGTTCCATTTATGTATGCATTCATTGGTTGTTTCTTGTATGTGCCCTGACTAGGGCTCAAACTCACAACCTTGGCATAGCAGGACGACACTCTATCCAACTGAACTACCTGACCAAGACCATGAGTTGTTTCTTTACTCCTGTTTTCCCATTTCGCAGGTGGCCTGAGAGGCTCTGGTAACATCAGTTGGGTTGACCTGTCTTTACAGCTTTTATAGCAGCTGCCTAACTGAATGGAGCAAGAAGGTACTGTGCTAAACTCTGGAGACTCAAAGAGGCATAAGCCATAGTGTCAGTCCTCAAGGACCTTACAACATTGCATGTGTAACACAGTGCAATATAAATGCCAGACAATATGAGCCTATGCCCTTAATGAGTGATCCAGAGTTTTGAAGCTGGGGCAAGAATTTAGGGGCAAATTTCCACTGAGTGTGACAAGGGCATGGCAGCCCTTTAAGAACACTGAGGGCCCTCAGCAGTGTTTACTTACTGTATTGTTCCATTTTCAGATTTGACAGATGGTCCAGGTTTACTTGACATTAATTAGTTACCTTAGATACTCACAGACCTCAGATTGTCCCCCCCCCCCTTCTTGACCCATTGGGCCTTTTTAAAGCTGACACTGAAGTGGGTTTGACTTACATTTATGTGGAATAATTATTCTCACTGAAAGTTGACCCCACCTTTTGTTTTCTGAAGCCATTGGGAAGGCCTAGAATGAGATCTTGCGTAGCAAAGGGAAGAGATAAAGTGTTGCTGTTGTTTCTGCCTTGTTTCCTTCTATTTCTCCTTTCTGCCTCTGCTCCCTCCTACACTACTATGTCTTTTTATCCTCTTACCCTAGGATGCTCTGTGGCTGCCACTGAAGAGCATCATGCTGTTTATGGGAGAATGTGAGGGAAATTGCTTCAGAAATGGGTTGTTCCTGCTGGGCCACTCAGGAGGGCTTCTGAGGGACAACTGTGGCTTCTGTTGAGGAGAGACCTCTGAAAAATGGCATTTATGGCCCTGGGCACTATTTTCCACCTCACTCTTTTACCAACTTAGACCTGAGAAGTGGGTTTTCCAGAAATGGAAGGAAACAGGGATCTGTCTTAGGACTTTGGACCTGAACTTAAGGCCTCTCCATGAGCCCTGGGATGGATAAGTGTGTTAATTCAATTCCATCCAGTATGATAAGTATCTAGTGGACATCTGTAATGTACTCTCCAGAAGCTGGTCATCTGGTTAGAGGGAAAGACTTACATCTGAAATACCATTTGAGGATAACACAAGACTGTGTAGTGTAAGGTGTTATATTGGGGTGCAGTGGAGAACACAAAAGGCAGGTGACATTAGGGAGGCTGGAGTAGTAGGGGAGGCAGGACTGGAGCTGAGCCCTGAAAGCCGAGCAGAGTTTGGCTATGTGGCAGTTGCCGGCATCTGAAGGAACAGCATGAAGGAATGGCAGTGGGGCCAGCAAGGGAACAAATCAAACTGGAAAGAGTTTGGTCAAAGTTTCTGTCAGACTCTCTTCATCAATTATTACCCTGCCTATGTACCTTGGCTGAGCAAAGGGGTGGAACATTCTTTAGTGGGTCTCCAAACATTGCAGGGACCTCTTGGTATAAACACTTAAATATGTTTTAGAAGCCAAGTGGCCTGTCCTGTGTTACATGTTACATACACTATATACTCATGTGTATTCACAATCCCTGCTGGCACAGGGCAAATTGAGGCAAGAATGTGGGCAGAAGGGATTAAAAATGCAGGGATGATTGTTGGAGAAAGAGAGAGCAAAATGGGCAGGCAGAAGAAAGAAATATCAGAACTTAGAAGACAACTGTAGACTTCTACCCGCTGGGGTATTACGGACATGACTCCAGGTCCCCCAGTTGATGTTTGTCTTCTGCCTTCCCCTCTTTGTCTCTTTCCTCCAACATAGGTTTTTAAATCCTACTGCAGATATTTCTTTGGAATGAAAGCACTGGAGTGATAGTTCTTAAGTTTGACTAGTGTGACAGAGGCATCTGTGATGCCTTTTCAAAATGCAGATTCCTAGTCCACACTTCAGACCTGAGGAACCAGGCATCGGAACTCAGAACCTGGACTTTTAATAAGCTTCAAGTGATACTGATGCACGTTGAAGTGAGGCCCTCTGCCCTGGTCTGCCCTGATCTGTCTGGCCCAAGGCTTCCTCCCTGGAGTTTTGCCCTGCAAGCTTTGCCCCTGCCCCTTCCTACCCCTCCCCCTTCACCTGAGCACCTGTAGAAACTTAAGTAGTGAAGTCTTCTGTTTTATGTCACAGCTTCTCCTTAGTTTCTTTTCACCATCAGTCCCGGGAGATTCTCAGGAACATTCTCCCGATATCCTGAAGCTGTTGGCACCTCACCCTAGATTAAAGGAACACGTAGAGTCAATGGCTACTGAAGGCACCAGCCATAATCTACCAAAGTTGTCACAGGTAAAACTCAACTCACCCAGCTCGTTTGTGACGCTTCGTTTGGCTGTTTGGTGGGCAAACCTGGGGAGTAAGCCCTACCTCTCCTACTTCAGTTCCTGAGAAAGAAGAAATGAAGTTGCTAGTGGTTATGTTCTTTGTTAGAAGGTTATTTCTTAAAGATAAAAACTGGATTTCAGGCATGGTCCTAGGATTTATGATTTGTTCTATTCATTTTTTACTTTTTGGTCAAATCTACCTGAGAGACAGATTTGACAGAACTACGAAGGAATTGGCCCACTTCCACTGGAGTCATTCAGTAAGGTGGCTTTATCAGCCCAGGGTTGGAGCCTGGGAAAAGGGCCTGACAGCTCCTCCTTTCCTGCTTTTTGTTAGTTCAAGCTGCTGGCCTTTGAGCACCACTTGAGTTCCTTATATAAAGGCAGCTCCATTTGATCCCCAAGCGGAGGTAATTTCCTATTCCTGCACCATGTCTTACACATTAGTAGAATTCTGGTATATCTGAGGCTGAGAAGAGGGAAGCAATCCTGGGAGGAAGGCAGGTGTTTGTACATTTCTTTGAAAACAAGGGAACAGAACCACAGAGAAATGGGCTTCAGCCTCTGGCTTTCTCAGCACAGGGCAAGTAGGCAGTAGCTGGGGTTCAGAAGTCCAGACCTGAAGGTAGAGTTTATTGCTGACTACCTCGGCCCCTTGGGACTGCAGTTCCCACTCCATTTGTGCCCTGTGCTCTTCCCTGTATGTAAGCCCTGGCATCTCCATGGCTTCTTGGATTCTTTGGCAGGTCAAAACCTTACATTTTCCCAGTTTCTCTCCCTGCTCAGAAGGAATAAAATTCAGGTGTGTCCAATTCGAAAAGGATTGGGGGTAGGCAGGACTCGAAGAGTATCTCCTGAAATCAGAGAACCCCTAGTGTATTCCAATAATTGTTTGAGATCATGATTACCGAAGTGCCTGGAGTGATTTCTAATTGCAGCTCATTCTGAAATAAAGAAAAAAAGCACCCCTGGCTTTAGAGTGAGAGGCAGCTAGGGAACAGGGATAGGGTTTCCAACCAAACTTTTCTTTGCCAGAGCAGTGTACTCCTGTGTAAACAATGCCTGGGATTCATGGACAGTTGAGGACATGGCATTGTTATGGTGCTGAAAAATCTCTGAACTCCCTATGTAGGAAACTGAGAAAACCCACATTCTTTCCCTCGTCACCCCATTATTTTCTCCCAAATGTATGGATCTCATTTTTCATCTGTCTACCAACTTTTTTGTAATGTTTGGAGGGGAAACAAGTACATGGGCATTTTGATCTGTAGACTATGGGTTTAGAATAGAGAGGGGTTCTCCAGGTAAATCTGCATAAACACCTTGTTGTTGCATTTATTTTAGACCAATTTTCAAATGTCCCTCTCCTGGACAAACATTCTTTACAAGGCCAGAGACATTATTGTTTTACCAAATGGTTTTGTCTCTTTTTCAGACTTCCCCCTGCCCCCAAAATGTAGTAAAGGGAATAGTTTGGCCCTAGTTCATTTGAGCAGCATAACATATAGCTCTGTGGCATGAGGTGACAGCAGGCCTATGGACACACCTGTGCCAAAGTCTTACTAAAAGTCCTTTTGGAGCTGGGCTGTGGGCTTTCTCTGGCCTAGAATAGCAGTGAGGTGAGAGAAAGCACTGAGTGACAGGATCTACCCTCTCTGCATGCCTTGGTTTCCCTAATGTAGTAACTGGGGAATGATCTGAATAGGAGAGGACACTGGCGATACATCTTACATTTCTCCCCTTTACCGCTGCCTGAGGAACCTCTCCCCTACATGCCTTTTTGTCTTTGCCTAGGGAAGTCCCCCCACTCCACCCAAGCTGGGCATGCCTTTGTATCCAATGCAGTGTGGACAGAAGTGGGAAATATGCTTTATGACTGCTTGCCCCAGTTAAGCCATGTGTCCACTAAATGATAAAGGCTGTGCAGTTCTCTCTCTGTCCCCTGTGGTAGGAATATCAGAAGACAGTATCGGTCCCAAGTAGATTCTGATGTTTGGCTCTTTCTTCCTCCAGGAGAATCTGGAGCCCCCACATTGTTCTAGTCAGGAGGAAGCGGCAACCAGTGGGGACTACAACACCCTGATGAACCCAGTGAAAGTAGAGAGTGATGGGCAAGAAGGCAATATGAAAGACCAGGAAGGAAGAGAGGAGGAGAGGTACACTGCCTCTCCAGAAGCTGCCTCTATCAAGACTGGCAAATGCCAGGAAAAGAAAAGAAAACATTATCAGGTTGAATCTCAACACCCAGAGGTGTCCAATAAAGCCTCTAAGCCAGGTACTGACTCTACCCCAGGGGGAAAGGGGCTTAGAGGAGATGCCTGGGCTCCCCAATATCTGAAGGTTACTTGTTCTCAATATGAGGGCTCATCAGGCTCTGGGTGTGTGGCCCAGCTCTGGCACTTAGTTATGGCACCTCAGGAGTTGCTGTAAAGTTTCTGTGAGAGTGTGCACAGATCACAGAGTACTGCCAATGAGCCAGAATAACTATAATGGAAAGCCAAGGCATAAGGTCATGCAGTTTCAAGTAATGATATCCAATGCCCTTGATGGTGTCACTTCCTGCCAGGCCAACCTTTCCCTGCCTCCATCCCTATTCCAGGAATGGCGGACCAGAGCCATGTAATCAGGCCACACTCTGCTCATTCCCAGTTATGTTTCTTTAGGTAGGCATCTGAGAAGCAGCAGTTGCAGCTCGATAGCTTTTCAAGAGAGGTGGGCAGTGCCAAGATTCAGTATCAGCTTTGAAGGCCTGGCTCAGTCCATGGAGTTGCAGTTGCTGCATGAGGTGCCTGTTGCATTTGAATGAAGTCCCCAGGGCTCCTGGACACACCCTGACTTTCGCTTCTCTTGATATGGGGCTCGTAGACACCTCCGGGGTCTACTTCAGGGTGTCCCATTTGCAGTGGGTCAGGTGGCCACTAAAGCAACTCTCTGGAAGGGGATGAGAGTGGCAAACTGAAAAAGTAATTGGGTTCTTTTGCCTCACAAGTTTTGTCTGTGAAACCAAGGTTTATCCAGCTCTGACTTAACTGTTTTCTACACAGATCCTTCTGCTGATCTGGGGGCCAAGCCTGCTCTCCGTGTACCCCTAGCATCTTTTGATGCATCTGACCTTGAATGCTCCCTATGTATGAGGTATGTGATGTGTGCTGTCACTTAGTGCCTGAAGGGTTTTTCTCTCTGGTTTGTGGATCTTTCTGCTAGTGACCTACTGCTCCATTGGTCAGCCTATAAAACATGGTTCTAGCAAAATGAAAATTATGTAGATTGTCACATAAGCTAGCTTGTGTCCCCTGTTTACACATTGCATTCCCTGTACTCCTGACTTGGAAGTACATATCTAGTAGATATCTAGGTTTGAGACCCTGAAACTAATGTCAACTACTGGATCAAGATCTCAAAACTCAAGGGCGAATGTCAGTATCACAGGTCTATTCTTTGGCAACAAAGTAAAGACCTGCCAGAGTTTGTTTTATGCTAAAAAGAGGATTAGCAGTGGGCCTACACTACTTGGCCAAGCATCTTTCCTTCACTTCCTAGTGCCTTATCATCTCTACTTTCTCAGATCTCTGGAGATGCAAATTATCCACATGCTTCCTCCCCAGCTCCCTGCAAATAAAAAGGAAGCTGCTACAATCGTATGAAAAAAAAATTACTTTCATTTGTATTATTTCACAGTGGTGACTTTGTAACTAAGAGGAGGAGCTCCAAAGCCATATGGCCTGGGTTTAAACCCTGGCTCTGCCACTTACTAGCTCTTTGACCTAAGCAAGTGACTTTCTCTGCCACTGTTTTCTCATCAGTAAAATAGAGAACAATAGTCCCTATCCAAAGGCGTGGTTATGATTAATGGAGAAAATCTACTTAAAACACTTAGAATAGTGCCTGACATATAATAAGTACCTAATAAATGTTAGTTATTTTTTCTCCTAGACAAGAGGTTCTTCATTTTAGGTCCATGAAGAGGTTACATGTATACATTGAAATAGATCTACAAGTTCCCTGACATTGTATGTAAAAGTGTGTGTGTGTGTGTGTGTGTGTGTGTGTGTGTGTTTTCAGAACAAGGTCCACAGCTTTCAGTAGACTCTCATGTGTCTTTTAATTATTTACTTATTTATTTATTTTTATTAATTAATTAATTTTTGTTACAGATGTTTCTCCTTTTCCCCCACTGATTCCCCCCTCCCACACCCTCCCCGCCCTGTCCCCAGCTTTGTTGTCCATGTCCATTGTTCATGCATACATGCATATAAGTTCTGTGGTTTATCTCTCCCCCACCACCCCCTCTTCTGAGGATTGTCAGTCTGTACCCCACTTCCACATATCTGGGACTACCCCATTCCTCAGACTGTTATGTTCATTATATTCCACAAATAAGTGAGATCATATGATAATTGTCGTTCTTTGTTTGGCTTGTTTCGCTTAGGATAATACTTTCCAGGTCCCTTGATGTCCTCTCAAACAATAAGAGATCTTTCTTTCTTACAGTTGCATAGTATTATATTGTGTATATGTACCACAGCTTTTTGATCCATTCATTTACTGATGGACATTTGGGCTATTTCCAGATCTTAGCTTTTGTAAATGATGCTGCTATAAACATGGGGGTACATATATTCTTTCTGACTGGTGTTTCAGGCTTCTTAGGGTATATTCCTAGAAGTGGGATCCCTGGGTAAAATGGAAGTTCAATTTTTAATTTTTTGAGGTAACACCATATTGTTTCCCATAGTGGCTGCACCAGTCTGCATTCCCAACAGCAGTGTACTACAGTCCCCTTTTCTCCACACCCTCGCCAACACGTTTGATGATTTGTTGATGGTGGCCATTCTGATAGGTGTGAGGTGATACTTCATTGTTGTTTTAATTTCCATCTCTCTGATGATTAGTGATGTTGTGCATTTCTTCATATGTCTCATAGCCATTTGTATGTCCTGTTTGAAGAGGTATCTATTTAGTTACTCTGCCTATTTTTTAATTGGGTTCTTTGTCTTCCTTTTGTGGAGTTGTATGAGCACTCTATATATATATTGGAAATTAACTCCTTATCTGATATATCATTGGCAATTGTGCTCTCCCATACAGTGGGTTGCCTTTCCATTTTGGTGGTTGTTTCTTTTGCTGTGCAGAAGCTTTTGAGTTTGATGTAGTCCCATGTGTTCATTTTCTCCTTTGTTTCTGTTGCCTTAGGTGATGTATCAGTGAAAATTCTGCTGCATACAATGTCTGAAATTTTGTTGCCTGCATTTACTTCTAAAATTTTTATGGATTCATGAGTCACATTTAAATCTTTTATCCATTTTGAGTTTATTCTTGTGTATGGTATAAGTTAAATGTCTAGTTTCATTTTTTGTATGTAGCTGTCCAACTTTCCCAACACCATTTTAAAAGAGGCTGTCTTTACTCCACTGTATGCTCTAGCCTACTTTGCCAAATATTGAGCATATTGCCTTGGATCCATTTCTGGGTTCTCTGTTCTGTTCTACTGGTCTATCTGCCTGTTCTTATGCCAGTACCAGGCTCTTTTGATTACAGTGGCTTTGGAGTATAACCTGAAATCTGGTAGTGTGATCCCTCCAACTTTGTTCTATTTCAAGATTGCTGTGGATATTCGAGGTCTTTTTTGGATCCATATGAACTTTTTTTTTTATCCTCACCCGGGGACACCTCTTTGATATTTTGTTCAGGTAGAGTGAGAGGGAGGGAAAGAGAGAGACACATCGACCTGAAAGGGACACATCAAGTGGTTGCCATCCACATGACTCTGACAGGGGCCGGGTACAAACTGCAACCACGGTACATGCCCTTACTGGGAACCAAACCCAGGTGTCTTCAGATAGCAGGCCAATGCTCTATCCATAGAGCCAAACCGGCCAGGGCCATATGAACATTTGAAGTGTTTGCTCTAGTTCTGTGAGGTATGTCGTTGTTATTTTGATGGGGATTGCATTGAATCTATAGATTGCTTTGGGTAGTATGGACATTTTAATGATGTTAATTCTTCCAATCTATGAACAAGATATGTGCTTCCACCTTTTTATATCTTCCTCTACTTCTTTTTTTAATGTCTTGTAGTTTTCTGCCAATAGGTCCTTTATTTTTTTGGTTAAGTTTATTCCTAGGTATCTTAACTTTTTTGCTGTGATGGTAAATGGGATTGTTTTTTTAATTTCTCTTTCTGTGAGTTCATTGGTGTATAAGAATACCGTCAATTTCTTGACATTAATTTTGTATCCTGCTATTTTGCCAAATTCATTTATTAAGCCTAGTAAACTTTTGATGGAGTCTTTGGGGTTTTCTACATATAGTATCATGTCATCTGCAAATAATGACAGTTTTACTTCCTCCTTTCCAATTTGGATCCCTTTTATTTTTTCTTCCTCTCTGATTACTGTGGCTAAGACTTCCAGTACTATGTTAAATAAGAGTGGTGAAAGTGGGCATCCTTGTTTTGTTCTTGTTCTTAAGGAAAATGCTCTTAGTTTTTGCCCATTGAGTATGATGTTAGCTGTAGGTCTTTCATATATGGCCTTTATTATGTCAAGATATGATTCCTCTATTCCTACATCCTGAGTGTTTTTTATCAGAAATGGGTGCTGGATTTTGTTGAATGCTTTTTCAGCATCTATTGATATAATCATGTGGTTTTTATTCTTCATTTTGTTGATGTGGTGTATCACATTTATTGATTTGCAAATATTGTACCAGCCTTGCATCCCAGGGATGAATTTCACTTGGTCATGGTGAATAATTTTTTTGATGAATTGCTGGCTCCGATTTGCTAGTATTTTGTTCAGGATTTTGGCATCTATGTTCATTAGGGATATTGGCCTGTAGTTTTCCTTCTTTGTAGTGTCTTGTTCTGGTTTTGGAATTAGAATTATGCTGGCCTCATAAAACGAGTTTGGAAGTCTTCCTTCCTCTTGAATTTTTTGAAATAGTTTGAGGAGAATGGGTATTAGTTCTTCTTTGAATGTATGGTAAAGTCACCCCCCCCCATGCCCTCCAGGCCTTGGCTTTTGTTAACTGGGAGAGCCTTGATTACATCTTCAATTTCTGTTGTTGTTATTGGTGTATTCAAGTTTTCTATCTCTTCCTGGTTCAGTTTTGGGAGACTATGTGTTTCTAGACATTTGTCTATTTTGCTTAGATTGTCAAATTTGTTGCATTTAATTGTTCATATATGTTAACAATTCATTGTATTTCTGTGGTATCAGTTATTATTTCTCCTCTTTTATTTCTAATTTTGTGTATTTGGGTTCTCTCTCTTTGTTTCTTGATGAGTCTAGTTTAGAGTCCATCAAGCTTGTTTATCTTTTAGAAACACCAGCACTTTGATTCACTGTTCCTTTGAATTTTTTTTTTTTTTTTTTTTGTCTCCATGTCATTTATTTGTTCTGATCTTTACTATTTTCTTTCTTCTACTTGCTCAGGGGTTTTCTTTTTGTTTCCTTTGTAGTTCTTTAAGTAGTGAGGTTAGATAGTCTCTTAGAAATTTTTCTTGTTTCCTGAGGTATGCCTGTAGTGCTATGAACTTTCCTCTTAGAACTACTTTTGCTGCATCCCATAGATTTTGTGTTGTTGTGTATTCATTTTCATTGGTTTCCAGGAATTTTTTAATTTCTTCCTTGATCTCTGTGGTAACCCATTCATTGTTCAATAACATGCCATTTCGTCTCCATGTTTTCAAATGTCTTTGCATGTTGTTGTTGAAATTGATTTCTAGTTTTATGCCATTGTGATCTTGAGAAAATGCCTGATATGATTTCAATCTTATTGAACTTGTAGCGACTTAGTTTATACCCTAATATGTGGTCTATCTTTGAGAATGTCCCATGTGCACTTGATGAGAATGTGAATTCTTTTTTTTTTTTATCCTCACCCGAGGACATTTTTCGATATTTTTTTCAGATAGAGTGAGAGGGAGAGAGAGAGAGAAACATCGACATGAAAGCAACACATCGAGTGGTTGCCACCCACACGACCCAACCAGGACTGGGAACAAAGTGCAACCAAGGTACGTGCCCTTAGCGGGAACTGAACCCGGGTCTCTCCGGACCGCAGGCTGACACTCTAACTGCTGAGCCAAACCGGCCAGGGCGAGAATGTGAATTCTTTAATTTTGGGGTATA